GGAAAAGGGATTGTTTTCAAAGAAGTTTTATAGGAGAATTGGTCATTTGGTTGAGTCTGTTTTTTCCAGAAAGGGCCTGGGGAAATAAAGTCCCTAGCAATTCAAGTCTCTCCAGAATGATCCTCAGTTTTGGTTACCTGAAAAGGATCTGATCTTAGGACTGTGATTTCAAAGTGCAGAAAAGGGGATTTGCTTCCAGATACTTCCTCTCTTATTACCAATGCTAACCTTTCATGGCACATTAAGAAACAAATTGCAAATGCCAACACCCCTGTTGATTTTTGACTTATTTTCCTTCAAACATTCCGTTTCACTTAGTATTTCTGAATTTCCTGAGGAGTACAATGTGCCCATTACCTGTACTGGCTACCATGCAATAAGAGTAACTAAGACATGCTCTTGGCCTAGGTTCTCTAAAAGCAAAGCTCAGGGCAAGGATAAAAGCACTGACACACATTTGGGGGCCAGGTGCAAGCTCAACTGACATGCATTTAAAAAACAGATGTGAAGCAAGAAGAGGTGAGAAATAATTCATTGAGCTACTCTGCTGGCCACTTCCTCACTCAGTCTCAAAGAGAAATCATTGGGTGCTATGAAGATGGTTTTCTAGCGCATAGCCCTTTCTCTGGAGGGCTCCATAGAAAACCACATCTCAGAGTAGTTCACAGAAAGGAGAGAAGGAGGAATGCATCAGCCTGCTCCCTCCCACCTCCTGCTTCCGCGGGTCAGGGTTTATCTCCGGGGGTTTGACTCCTTCAGACCCCCAGTTCACATCATCTGTTCCCCTATGACCACTCAGTAAAGCAGATCCCATGTTCCCTTTTTATCCAGCTCTGAAGAAGGAGGGCATGTGGCATGAACAGAGCTCAGCCTGAGGCTTCAAATCAGACTCCAAGCAAGTGATTCAGGAAACTCAATTAGGGTGCTGGAATAAGTGGTATCAGTGTGATCTGGGAGGCAGGTGATATTTTGGAAAAATGAAGCAGTCAAGAATATCTGAGGTAGAGCAAAAGGCTTCTGCTTAACACAGTCAGCTCTTCACTGCATCATATCTCATGCCTTCCAGAATATCTGGCTACTCTACTACATTATGAGGCATCCATTTATTTTTTTTTCTTTTCTGAGAAAATGAAGACACCTTACTCCTCCCCAAAAAGGACAATTACAAGTCCAATCAGATATAGAGCCTCTTCCAATATGTTAGTTAGCTAGTTGCCACGTCTTCTAAAAAGGCTCGTGTCTGCTAGTTATCTATAAGGATAAATCGATCTAGGAATAAAGATGTGGTTTAAGAGAGTGTCTAAATCCAGTGACAGAAGGCTATGTGAACACTGTGGCATAGAAATGACACTGAAGCTCTAGGAACCTCACATCGTTCATTCTTCATGTAAAATGGGGATACATGACCAACTGGCCATGTGGTAGGGTTCATGTTGATCATGAAATAAAAGTGTTTGAATACTTAAAGTCATGACAGACATGGAAGAGACTACTAGCATAGTTACTAAATCAGCTGAGTTGGATTTTCCTCAATGTCTGAGAAAAACCCCTGACTTGTTCTATGAGGGCATTCCTTGGGATAAGTGGGATTTACGGGATGTTACTGCTAATGTTCAGAAGTTTCCATACTATGGTGGCCATATCACTTCACCTGTAAGGGTGACTTACTCTCCTGAATGGGGAAGTCATTTGTGCCATCACTATTCTGGATGAAGGTAGAGTCCTCAAATGTGAAACTGGTTCTAAGATGTCATGCTATTCAATAGGCCACAGGCAGGAAAACAGGGAAACACTGAGGTATTTAAATGTTTTGGAAAGTGTCCATTGTCTGAAGGAATTAGCCTCTGCCATGTGGAAGATGACCAGAACTTACAAGGTAGCAATAGATCCAGATGGAAGATGACATGACAGAGATTCAAGTCAAGGTAGTTATGTTTAGAGCACTCTTTGGCTTGTCTTGACTACAGTTATCTTCTCTTCCAGTGCTGTCCTAACAAAAATAAGGAAGTTCAGTTACAAAAATTGGTCCACAAAGAAAGAAGATAAGCTATAGTAGGACAGACAAATTATAGAGATATACACATCTTTCCTGCTTCTCCCCACTAAGGACAAGCTGATCTCTTCAATATGGGGTAAAGTTTACTCTACTAAGGGGGTAAGTAGCTCTCAATATGGTATCTGGAAGATAGTGGGAATCAGAAGCCCAGTGCAAGTTCTTTCTTTTCCCTTCTGAATAGAAAGACACCTCTCGCAGCACCAACACTAGCTTTTTACAAGAATTTATCTCAAAAAAGCAGTAAAGATATTTGTTTTGGGCCCTAGCCATTGACGAAAACATAATTACCTCACCAGATAAACCATTGTGTACTTGCCAGGAAGTCATATAAAGGATGGCAGTCAAAGAGTAATGAAAGATGAGTCTTATGTTTTCCTTTACGTATAGCAGAGTTGGACAGATATCTATTGATGGAGGTCCAGAGGTTGGGAAGTTCTGGTCAGGGCAGCCTAACGTAAAATTGTGAAATCATGATTCTACTTCATATGCCTGTTACATTTTTGAAAACCACAGAACGCTCATGCAGTTTCATCCAAAGTTCAGCACAGTCTGCCATTACTCCCATTTTTTATATGAATGAACGGAGGCTCAGGATGGGCAACTGACTTACCAAAGTCATATAAACTCTTACAGATAGAACCAGAACAGGCATCTAAGCCTTCTGATTCTTTCTATGACTTTCAAATGTGTGATAGCTATTTTTATAGTCGTAGCTAGGTTAAGGATAAGAGATGAGATGAAAATCTAGATAGCAACTTAGTATATACATTTTCCTAATATGCCTTCAGAGGCTCACAAGGGGCACACGCCCGAAGCACTCTTTCCCCATTAAGTAGGAACTATGTGACATACGTAAAGAAAATAACAGAGCACAAAAGACTTACAATAGAAATCCAAGCACTGGCATCATATGTAGTAGAAAACCTTGCCTACAGGAGATTAGAGATACCAGTTCATTACACTGCCCTCTGGTCCTATCCGCCATTCATAAGGCAGGGAGTGAGAGAGTTGGGAAAGTGGGCTGCCTTCAGATTCTCTTTCCAATCTGGAGTGCACACTGTACAAGTTTGTACTAGATGAGCTGTGAGGGATTAGGGTGGGGACGTGAGAAAGGAATTATGTCCATGTTCTGCCACAGCAAGTTCGGTTGTTGTCTGCCTTCTGTTGGGTCTCTGCTAAAATCCAAGCTGTGCTGATGTGTTGACATATCGGATGCCCATGAAGCTTTTCCTAACACCTAGATGAGGATATTGAAAGCATAGCAGAGGAACAAGAATCTGTTCATGAATTAGGTTTGATCCAGTGCCTGACTATGGCAGTATTTCATAGGAAACATCTTGATGTCATGCAGAAGAAGTGTTAAGGGCCCTTGGCTCTGGCTCAAACCCAACAGCAAGAAATGCAAATGTTTTGTGAGTAGTTGGAGTAGATAATATCTTACCAGTAGAAAAAAAAAAAACCAACAAAACATTTGGTAGATCTAGCACCCAGAGAGACTCAGAAAACAAAGCACTATTGACCAGACAATTCCAAAACAGACCCTCGCTCTGGCAGGGACTAAAGCCTATGGTACCTTGCTCCTCCATTCAAGTTCCTCATCTGTTTCTGAGAAGTGAGTTCACTGAGTTTACCTATCTTGTTGAGTTGGGGTTAACTAATTTGCATTTTTATTTTAATTTTAAAGAAAATCATACTTGAAACCTAGCATTAAAAATATAGAAAGTAATAGCTGTAAAAAGCCACCAACTAGTTTTTCAAACAAGGAATTAAGGACTCAGAGGTGTCAAAGATTATTCCCAAGGTCTAGACCATTAGTGACAGAGCTAATGATAGCAAAAGTTTTATGTGTAGAGGGTTTACTATGCACCACACATGGCAAAGCATTTCACACAATGTTCTCTTAAAATTTTATCACAATCCACTTACTTCTACAAATAAAGAATACGAGAATTTGAGAAGTAAAAAGATTTGCCTAAATTATAATAAGCTGCAGTGATGAATTTCAACCCCAAGATGTGATATGAGCCAACCATACTTGGCTCAGCCTATTCTCTAGTTAGAATTCCAGCACTCAATTTGCTGACTAATCCAAGGTAGCAGAGCTAGAGAGCTGTGGGCCCATAAACAATTGGTCATTGGGTAATACACGATGTAGCCTACCTCTTTGTACTATTCTCTCTCTTTCTCTCTCTCATATTCTTTCTCTCATATTCCACCCCCTCTTTCCGCCCCCCCCTTACAGTCATCCTCAAGCCAGCTGGCCTGGATAATTATTAAGTTAAAAAACAAAAAAGGCATATTCCAGGTACTGTAATTATATATTTTCAAACTGCTTCAGTATCTTCGTTTCATTTGGAACTCTACTAATTTTTATATAATCTAAGATTATTAAGCACCATAAAGTATCTTCTATCTTAGAGTCCTTCATTATACTTGCTTCTGGATCATTCTCTGAAAGCATAGCCTATATTGCCTAACTCCTCCTCTAAATAAACCTTCCATGCTTTCTCCTTCTCTCTGATTTAGTTTGTTACTGTAAACTGTAAGCCTCGGTTTTAGGACTCTCCATTATATATACTCATCCTCCTTCTCATCCTGATCTCCTAGTGCCCTATGAATGGAGTATATAGCCAGGTTCCCTGAACTTTACTTTTCAGGTTTGTATACATCTGATCTCTGAGCCTTTAATTATTCTCTTTCTTCTCAATACAGTAATAAACACTTCTTTCCCTACCTCTTCCACCACCCATGGAAGCCCCACACATCTGTCAAACCACATCACAAATACCATCTTCCCCCAAACAGGATTTGCCTTCTTCTTTCTATGAATTCCCATAGTACTTTTTTTCTTGGTTAATTACCGTAAGTCAGGTTCCCCAGAAGCAGACTATAGAGATTTGCATGAAGGTATTTTTTTCTTTCATAATTAAGATTTTATTGGTTGGAAAATGTGGGATGCTTCATGAATTCGCATGTCATCCTTGTGCAGGGGCTACACTGATCTTCTCTGTATAGTTCCAATTTTAGTATAGGTGCTGCCCAAAGCATTTTGTTGGGGAAGCAAGGTTGTACAAAGAAGTTGGGCTCCAAAACTATCTCTACTAGGGCCATAGCCAATCCCTTGGGGAGCTCTGGAGCTGTGAGCAAGAGGGTCAGGGCCTTTACCTCCCTCTGTCCACCAGTCATTGGCTGTGAGGACCTTGGGCAAGGAGCACATAGGGAGTAATGAGCTATGAACTGTCAGCTGTCAGTACTCCTGGGGAATGAAGACTTCCATCTAAAAAGGATAGAAGGCAGGGATAGAAATGTGAGTGATATACCACAGTATCCACGGCATCAACCTAGAAGGAATCTGGCATCTTCTGCTTTGTAGGTCATGTCTTTATCTTCTGGAAACTAGAAATAAGTATTTCCTAAGTATTTTCTGAATTCCTTATAGCTGTTAGTACAGTGCACACGAGATGCTGGGCAAATAATTTGCTGAGATAATTTATCTTATGCTCTTTCACAGAACTTTCACTTTAAAGGTATATTAATGAAGTATGTCAGACACATCCTCTCTCTATTTTATAGAGGAGAAAAGTGAGGCATAGACTGATAATTGGAGTTGGTCGATAGCACAATTCATTTAAAAGTTTCTTTTTTTTAAGATTTTATTTATTTATTTATTTATTTATTTATTTATTTATTAAAGATTTTATTTATTTATTTGAGAGAGAGAATGAGATAGAGAGAGCATGAGAGGGAGGAGGGTCAAAGGGAGAAGCAGACCCCCTGCCGAGCAGGGAGCCCGATGCGAGACTCGATCCGGGGACTCCAGGATCATGACCTGAGCTGAAGGCAGTCGCTTAACCAACTGAGCCACCCAGGAGCCCTTATTTATTTATTTTTGAGAGAGAGTGAGAGCATGCACAGAGAGGGAGAAGCAGGCTCCCCGCTGAGCAGAGAGCCTGAAGCCGGGCTCCATACCAGGACCTTGAGATCATGACCTGAATTGAAAGCAGACACTTAACCGACTGAGCCACCCAGGCACCCTCATTTAAAAGTTTCAATGAGAAAACCTAGGTCTCAGGACTCTTAGGTCAATTGTCTTTGAAAAGAAAAATGTACTCAATTAGCCAAGTAGAAATAGTAGTTCAAAGGAGGGCTACAGTTGGGTCAAGAGTTAATAACCTTGCTCCCTAAACCCCTTTTCAAAAATTCCTGCTTCTGGGCCTCCTGGAGGTTCCTCAACTTGATAAGTTATTAGACTTCCTTTTGGCACATATTCACATGCAAAGGGCCAGGGCTTTCAGCTGAGATTTAGAACAACTTTGGCTCATTGCCCAGGGCTCATACTGTGGAAAGAGCAGAAAGCATCCTCCAAGAATCTTTAAAACAATCACTAAGAGGCAGATGACCTGCAGTAGAATCCCTGAAATCATTTTTCAGGAGACATGCCACAGTCACAAAAACAGGTGAAGTCATAAAGAAACCTTTTTAAAGACAACAATGTCCCCTTCCCTCTCCCATACTTGTTTCTAGCCCCACCCCCCCATAACTACTCTATTACCCTCACCCACCCAAAATTATAGTTTTAGCAGAGAAAATCACCCATGATGTAGCCTATCTCTAGGAAAACACCAACCTCAGCCATATGAATGAATCTGTTTCTGTTGCACAGATATGGCCTGGTACTTAGCAGGATTTCTTGTTTACTGACACTGCTAAGAACTCCAGAAGATTGGGGCAAGAGCATCATCACCTTGGCTAGTTACCTTCTTTTCTTTGGATTCTTGACATATGGAAAGAGATCTGTACATAGAGATCACATATAAGTACTTGTGCCCTGGCTACACTGAGTTGTTAGAGAAGTGCTAGTCTTTCATTCAATGTCAAATCAATTGTCCTTCAATGTGGCTTTTTTGGTCATTACTCCTGCTCAAGGGCCATCATACACTCCTGATCAGAACACCAAATACTGAGCCTAGATCTGCTGACCCTCCACAAACTAATTTCAAGCTGTTCTTTAAGTTCTATTGCCCACTTCTCCTTGGCACAAGTTCTACATTTCAGCAAAATCAACCTATCGGTTCTTATATTAGAAGCATTCCCAAGATTTCCAGGAAAGGTCCCCTCAAAACACTCTGGCAACTGACAGGTACTTTATGATTCCCCAAATTCTGGAAATGTGATTGCCGAAACCAAAGTTTGTATTCTGCTAGTAGAAACAGCCCAAGAGATTTCCAACTCTTGAAACGCAATTTATTAACATGTTTCAGTGACAAAAAATTCACCTGCTGGACTGGCGATGCCACTCAGAATTTTCACATAGACCATATTCATACTTCATATTTTCACACACACACACACACACACACACACACACCCCTCTTATATTTTCACACTTGCAAGTTTTTTGATGCTTTCCCCCCCACTGCTGAAAAGCCATTTCTTGATACACTGGTTTTAATCTTACTGAGGCTTCCTGGTCCAACTCAGTTGTCATCTCTTCCTTGAAGACATCTGGTGGCCCACTGCTTAGCCCATAGGGTGGTTCACATAGTTTTATGCCTTGTATTATTTGTGTTTACATCTCCTCCTCTTTCTATTAATTAGTAAGCTGGGACAAGGGCAAAAAACCGATGTTAACCATTTTTCTGTTCCAGCCGTAACTGGCACAATCCACTGGGACAAAGTCAATATGCAACGAAGAACAAAAAATCATTAGGCATATCTTCCAATAGTCACTGCAGTATATATAAAACAAATTTGGGAAATACTTCTAAACATTTTGTTACCTTTTTATTAAAGTTTACCATATATAATATGTAAATAACTACTAAGTATATATGTTGAAAATTTGTAAAAAGTGATTAAAGGCATGTAATCATCTCTAAGAATATAGAACATTATTTATACTCCAGAAACAACCACATCCCCCTGCCTCACAGTCAACTCCTAAAAGTAATCACTATTCTAATATCTATCATCTTAAACCACTTTTCATCTCTTTATATGAATGGAATAGTATGGTATGAACTCCTGTGTGTCTATTTTTTATTTTGTTTTGGTTTTTTTGCTCACTACTATGATTATAGATTTATCCATTTGCTTGTTCCATAGTCTTCGTTCATTCTTTTCATTGCTAAATGATATTCCATTGTATGAATTTGTAACAATTTATTAATGATAATGGACATTTGGGCTGTTTCTAGTTTTTGGAAATTATGAATAAAGTTCTTTGAACATTGGTGTCTGTGTCTTTTGGTGCAATGTGCATGCATTCTGTTGCATATTTAGGAAGAATGGAAATAGCCAAACCACTGTGTATGCATACACTCAACTTTAGTTGATATTACCATACAGTTTTCAAAGTGGTTTTACCAATTTTACCAACATTGTGTGAGAGATCCTATTGCTTTATTTCTTCACCGGCACTTGACATTGTCAGATATTTAAAATTTTAGTCATTCAGGTGGGCGTCTAGGGGTTAGTATGGTTTTAATTTGCATTTCCTTGATGATAAATAATGACCAAAAAACCCCACATTTTCTTACGCTTTCTGGCCACCTGTGAAATGTCTATTTAAGTCCTTTGACATGTGTTTAAGCTGTACTGTTGTACTTATTAATTTGTGATATTTTTAATACACAATTATTTTTTGATACAATTTCTCTGTCAGATCTATGATTACAAATCTCCATGCTGCAGTTTACATGATAGCTCTCTTAATGGTATGTTTTGACAAATAAAAATTACCAACTTTCATTAAATCTAATGCATCAATCTTTCACTTTATGGTTAGTGATTGTGCATGTGTGCATTAATATGTTCTTGTTTAAGAAATTTTTGCCAAACTTAAGATCATGAAGGTTTTCCTCCATATTTTCTTTAGAAGTTTGTAACTTCACCTTTCAATTTTAGGTCTCAGGTACATATGGGACAAATTTTGGTGCATGGTAGGAGAAAGGTGTCAAATCCATTTTTATAGAATATACTATTAATCTCAAGGCATTTATCTAAAAGATCACATTTTCCCCCACTGCACTGCCGCAATACTTTACTATAAATCAATGACAATTTATGCTTGGGTCTAAAACTGGGTATTCTATTATGTTCCATTTGTCTATATTTCTATCTTTGTGCCCAAATCATACTTTTTTAAATTTATTTGACAGAGAGAGAGAGCACAAGCAGGGGGAGCGGCAGGCAGAGGGAGAGGGAGAAGAGGCTCCCCGCTGAGCAAGGAGCCCGATGTGGGGCTTGATTTCAGGACCCTGGGATCATGACCTGAGCCGAAGGCAGCTGCTTAACTGACTAAGCCACCTAGGAGCCCTGCAAATTATAATTTTTAATTACTGTTATATTGCTGTTGTTTTATTTTTAAATCTGTTAGTTCTTGTTTTTTCAACATTGTTCATCTTTTAGATCTTCTTTGATACTTTAAGTTGTTTGGATTTCTATATGTATTTTAGAATTTAGCTTGCCACTTTCCACAAAAAAATTGCCATATGGGATTTATACTTAGAGTTTTATTGATTCTATATGTCAATTTAGGAAGAATTGACATCTTTAAAATATTGAATCTTCAAACATATAAATCTGGTATATTCTTCCATCTATTTAGATCTTTAAAAAAATTTTCTCCATAATACATTACAGTTTTCAGTGTAGAAGTATGGAAGGACTTTTGTTAAGTTTATTCTGAGACATTTGATATTTTTGGTGCTATCATAAATGAAATGTTTTCTAATGTTCAATTTGACTTGTTACTAATAATTCAAGTAATAATTGAATTTTACATATCACTTCACATCCAACAATGCTATTTTCAGTTATTACATGTGCTTTTTTATCTATAGAATTATTTTGCATGTTTAATATACACAATTACATTATACATGAATAATGACAGTTATATTTCTTTTTAATTCTTATACCTTTCATTTATTCTCCTTGCTCTGCTGTATTTGAAATGCTATTAAAATACTGGTAGATGTTATATCACTGGATATCCATATCTCTTACCAGATTTCAAGGTGTATCTTTAATGTTTGATAATCAAA